GGTTGACTTCTTGCCTCCTTCTCTGAATTTCACTCTTATCACTTGCCCCTCATCTTGTGCAGTCTGGCCTCTCTCGGCTTCTCTCAGGTTCTTAACAAGGCATGCTTGTTCCTACCACAGGGCCTTTGCAAGTTCTGCTTTCTCTCTTGTGTACTACTCTTCTCCCCCTCCTTACCTTAAGCTATTAACCTCTACGTGTCCTTGTTTGCTCAGTGACAGCTCCCGAGGAAGCCGATCGCTGGTACTCACCTTTCAACACATGACCAGATTCCCCTATTATAGGGTCCCAGTGTACCCTAAAGAAATTTCCTCATCCTTACTTGCCCTTGGGACATTCGTCGCAGTTTGAAAATACACAATTATGTATTATTCTTTGGTTGATATTTGCCTTCTCTACTAGACTAGAAGTTTCACAAGGACTGTGGCTACTACCAGTCTAGCTCCAGCTTCTAGCTTACAGTAGGTGCTCAAAAGTATTTGATAAATGAGTGAGTGTTTGTAATCGTCTCTTAACACAGTTTCGTTCCCTTGTTCCTTTCCACCAAGTTGTAGATCATTTAAAAGCTAAATTGCATACATCCCCATGGAATTAAATGTCCTTTTGTATTATTTGTTTGCTCGTTATTTTATAGTGCGATGGTTGAGTGCATGCTGCTAATGGAGAGGTTAGCTGTTCTGACCCAGTAGCTACTCTATGAGAGAAAACCATGGCAGACTCTTTTGTTCCGAAGACTCAGAGTCTTAGCAATCCCATGGACACTTCCCTTCTGGCCTATGGAGTGGCTATGAGTCAGAACCAACGTGTATGGAGTGGGATATGTTTTAGGTTTGAGTCTTTATATAATACCCAAACCACTATCACTGCATTGATTCTAATTCATAGCACCTTTATATAGGATTTATGAAACTTAACTTTCACTGTGTAAATCCTATGGGAGCAAATGGCCTCATCTTTCTCCTGAGGAGCAACTGGTGAGTTTGAACCTTCCATCTTGCTGTGAGCAGCAAGCTGCCTATCCCACAGTGCCCCCAGGGCTCCTATATGACATAACCCCACCCAAACCCAGCGCCTTCAAGTCCGTTTTAATTCATTGTGACATAACAGGGTCTTCAAGACTGAAAATCTTTACTGGAGCTCATGTTTCTCCTGTGGAGTAGCTGGAGTGTTTCAAATGTCAGCCTACGGTTAGTGGTTCAACACTGCTAGCATTGCCACCAGGCTTAGAGAGTACAGCAGTCACTCTGAATTTGCCTGAATATGGAAATCATTTAGAGAGCTCTGTGAACACACAGACCTGTGGAATCAGAATCAACAGACCCAGGCTAAGGATCAATAATGCTAAACGGTCCCTCTGGTGAAGTGATGGATAGAGCATGTCCACATGCTCCAGAGGTTATATTCACCTCTCTACTTGCCTGTGTTTTCACACCCTTCTTTCTCTCCTATGGAAGGGGCATCGTTTAGGCTGCTACTTAAGGTTCATACTTTACTGGTGAACCAGGTCCTATCCCTCTTGGCCACTCAAGAGAATCATAGCAGGCTTTCATCTCTTTCTTGTATCAATATTATTTTATCATCAACATTAACAATTCATCAGACTATTAAGTCTCCTAACAAAACAAACTCACTTCCTTCTGGTTGATTTCAACTACTAGTGACACGGTTGAGCTGTTCCTTATGATATCTGAGACTAATGAGAGCAGACAGCCTCATCTTTCTCCCACAGGGCAGCTGTTTAGGTTTGAACCACCAACCTTGTGGTTAGCAGTCAAGTGCATAACCCACAGCACTGCCAGGGTTTTAGTTTTGTTTTTTAAGTCCTCTACTGACCTTAAGTTTTCCTATAGCTGCCATCAGATTTCTCTGCTTCCTTCTCCAACAAAAGTCTTTTAAGGACTTGTCTGTTGTTGTTGTTATATGCCATCAAATCTGTTCCAACCTGTAGAGACCCTGTACACAACAGAACAAAACACTGCCCAGTCACACACCATCTTCTCAATTGTTCCTGTGCTCGAGCCCATTGCTGCAGCCACTGGGTCAATCCACTTCATCTAGAGCCTTCCTCCCCCCCCCCCCCCCCCCCCCCCCCCCCCCCCCCCCTCCACTTTGTCCTTCTCCAGGATGGGTCTCTCCAGAAAACACATCCAAAGTGTGTGAGATGAAGTCTCACCATCCTGGACTCTATGGAGCGCTCTGGTCAGACTTCTTCCAAGGCAGATTGGTTTGTCTGATGTGTCTATTCACTGCCCTCAAGTCGATGCTGACTCAATGACCCCTTGTGGATTTCTGAGACTGTAAATGGTTATGGCAATGGGAAGCCCGGTCTTTTTCCAACAGAGCTGCTGGCCGTTTTGAACTGCTGACCATGCAAATCACAGCCCAATGCCTACCCACTACACTACCAGGTCTAAGACCCTTTTTTCTATTCCCCATTGGATGTATTACAGTCAAGCCTCTGTCTCTACAACAGTAAAATAGTCCTTGTCAACTTTGTCAATGACACTCTTCCAGATCCATGCAAGTCTTCCTCTCTTTAGACCAGTGGTTCTCAACCTGTGGGTCGCGACCCCTTTGGGAGTCAAACAACCCTTTCACAGGGGTTGCCTACGACCGTTGGAAAACACATATTTCCGATGGTCTTAGGAACCAAGACACCGCTCCTTTGGCCTCTCCAGGTGGGTTCGCCCACATGCAGATATGCCCACCTATGAGTACCCAGTGTGAAGATTGTTACCTGTGCTACACCATGCTTCAAGACAAAATTTCTTTTATTTGGAATTAGAAATAAATATTTTATAATATATAATTACATATTGTTTTTGTGATTAATCACTCTGCTTTATGTTCAATTTGTAACAATGAAAATACATCCTCTGCATATCAGATATTTACAGTACAATACAATTCATAACAGCAGCAAAATTACAGTTATGAAATAGCAACAAAAATAATTTTATGGTTGGGGGGGTCACCCCAACATGAAGAACTGTATTTATTAAAGGGTCACGGCATTAGGAAGGTTGAGAACCACGGTTTTAGACCAATCCATTTACTAGATTATTTCTTTTAGTTCATTCCTAAAGTTGATGTCTTACCTCACTAGATGCTCTATTTCCCTCTTTGCCAGTTCGTCCTCACTGCCCTGAATCTAATTATTTATTTGACCCAAGGGTCAGTCTCAGACGGCCATGCGTAAACTATAATCTATAGACCAACTCCTGCATGTTTATTTGTAGCCCAAACTATTCTCCTGAACTATAAACTCATCTAACTGCCTAGTCACTGTTTTTAACTAGGACATCCAGTAGTGATCTCCATGTTGCTACATTCACCCCAGAATTCTTGATTCTTCCGCAGCACCACTCTCAACCTGGCCCTCTCCATGCTTCAAGGCCTCTCCTCATCTCCAGTCAGCAGCAAACCCTGCCAGTGCTACTGTTCAATGCAGTATCCCAACCCTGGATCACGCTCTTGATCTCGGCTGCTACTCGTGCCATCAGTCATCCCCTTCCTCTCCCACAGCACTGTCCCAGTGCGCTGTTTGCTTTCCTAATTCCTGCTCTCACTGTATTCTTCCCAGAGAAGTGAGGCACATCTCGACTAATCCCCCAGAACATTCCATCTCACTCAGCAGATGCCAAGGCTTTAAAAGCCCTCCTCTCTCTCCCATGTACTCTCCAACATCACCTCCTCTAAGCTCCCATCCTCTACTCCACACTAGCTGCATCGGTCTCCTAAAGTTCCTTGAATCCACTAGAAACACGCTTGCCTCAGGGACTTTGCATTTTCTGTTCTCATTGTCTGGAATGCTTTTCCCCTGGATACCCATAATTCCGTCCCTCAAGTCTCTGTTCAGTTGTTACTTTATGGGAAAGACCTACTCTAACCACACTTTAGAAACATAGTTGCTTCTCCTACTCTACACTCCATTTCTTCCTTAACACATTGAAATTTTGTCCACAGATTCTCTCGTTAATCAACACAATTTAATGTTACTTAATAATTTACTTGTGGCTTGTCTTCCCTCACGAGAATGTAACAGACTCCATGAAGTCCAGGCCTTGGTGTTTTGGCTGCATTGGTGCACCCTGTATGCACCAGCTGTGCCTGGAAACCAGCAGACATTCTTAAATGATTGCCAAATGACTCAATGAATGAATGCTCAGCTAGACTGAAAGCCTTTGGGCACAGCATCATTTTTTAAACAGAATACTGTCGTTTGAGTAATTCTGTGCAGTCGATTTACAGGATTTCTCAAGCAATCCATGATGTGCGGAACTGACGGTTCGACTGCAGGATTTGTAATTGGAACTTCAAATTATACATGATTACTCCTCAACGGCTCTTAATAAAACAGCCCTCTTTATGTAAACACGGCCTGGCTGCTGGGTAGTCTGTCAGGCCAGCGCGTCATCACAGAATATTGATGCCCCCTGTTAATGAGTCACCAGCGGTGGATTTGTCCATCATGTTCTATTGTTTACCTTTAAATGTGTGATATTTAAATATCCTTTCATCAGGGCAGAATTCAGTTTTGAAATGAATTGGTTCTAAAGTAGGCATTGCCTTTGTACGCTGGCCACCCTCGCCTGCTCCTTGCTGTCAGCATGGCCTCCATCACGGACACCCTTCTTTCTTTCTCCTCCCTCTTCTTCCCTTCCCTCCCACCCTCTTTGTTAGATTTTTTATTGAAGCCTGAGATGAGCCAGTTGCTGCATCATGGGCCCATTACACTTCCTAACAATTCTATTTGCACCTTATTGTTTGTCTTATTGCTGGAAAATGCAGGTGATTCATCATGCCTGAAGAAACACCTGATCCCAATTCCCCTGGTATCCTGATCACTATGTGACAGGCATACAGTGAGCGGGGGTGGCTCTCAGCATCTCAGAGGCCAAGGTGATAACTCTTTGGGGACTTTTAGCTTCTCAAGTATTGATGAGTTCCATTTTGTAATGCTTTTTTCTCCTCCTCCCTCTCCTTTGCTCCCCTTCCACAGCCCTCTGAGCCTCGAAAGGGGAACGAAGTTGATAGAGGACCTAGCACATCTCCTGACGGTGCCGATAAGCACGTTTGCAGATATCAGGTGAGTTCCTGAGGTGGATCTTTAGATTCCCTTCTTTCCTTGCATCCTGTTCCATTTCATAAATTGACTTGTGAGGGGAAGAATGCCATGTCTGTGGTTTTTGTTAATGATATCAGAAAGAAACAGTTTAGGAAGGGAATGAAAGGAGAATTCCAGTGGGTGTTGGTAAGTTATTTAAATACAGCTGAAACCTGACTTTAATTATAAAAATTATAATCTCCTCAAAGAATGGCATACAGCTCAGGCAGAGGTTCTCAGCCTTGATTACACATTAGAATGGCCTGGGTGGCTTTCAAAAATTCTGATGCCTAGTCCCCACCCCATTGCAAATCATCAAAATCTCTGGGGATAGGGCCTGTTGGTGAAAGTGCTCCTGCCCCCCCCCCCAAAAAAAAACACCACACACACACACACACACACAAAACCTCAAACCCCACTGCAATAGAGTCAATTCTGACTCAGAGCAACTCTACATAGGGCTTATGAGGCTCTCAGTATTTACAGGCAAGAGCAGATAGTCTCATGTTTCTCCCAAGGGGTGGCTGCTGAATTTGAACCACAGACCTTGTGGCTAACAATAAATGCTTACCTGGCAGTGAAAGTAGAGTTCGCGTTTACTGAATGCCTACTGTGCACACAGCCCCATTATTGCCTCTACTGGAAACTCAGGCTACCATTCACCCGACTGTTGGAGCTAGGTGCTACTGAGTAGATTCTGAGTCCTAGTGAGCTGGCCTACAGCAGAACAAAACCCTGCCTGGTCCGGAGCCGTCTTCTCTGTTGTTGTTTGTATTTGAGCCCATGGTTACAGCCAGTGTGTGGATTCTGCTCTTCAAGGATCTTCCTCTTTTTCACTGCCCTTCTCCTTCACTAAACTTGATGTCCTTTTCCTGGGACTGTTCTCTCTGGAGAGCTGTGAGAGGAAGTCCCACCATCCTTACTTCCGAGGATCGTTCTGGCTGTAATTCTTCCAAAACAGATTTGTTTCTTCTTCTGGCAGTCCACGGTACTTTCAAGAGTCTTTGCCAACACCATAATTCAAATGCACCCATTGTTCTGCTGGCTTCCTGATTCGTTATGTTCCTTATTCTCCCCCACTAGGATGCTATTATCATAAAAGTGGGAGAAGAGAGGCATAAGTCAGGGTGTGGAGACCTCAGGCACCTTTCCCTTGTTGGTAGTATTGTAAAATGGTGCAGCTGCTGTGGAAAACAAATGTAGAACAACCACCTGGCCCAGCAATTCTACTCCTAGGCAGACACTCAGAAGCCTTGAAAACAGGGACTCACACTAACACCTGTGTATCTCTGTCCATTACAACACCATGCAATGATGTCCATTCACAATAGCCGCAGGGTGGAAAAGACGCAAATGTCCATGGATTTAGATAGACGGATTCACAAGACGTGGTACAGACAGACAGCAGGGAGTGTCACTCAGGCATGAAAGGGAATGAAGTTCTGATATACGCTACTGCACTGATGAATGTACTTTGACATGCGGTCCGGAGAGACCCGTCTCTGCAAAGGACTATTATGCTTAGTAAAGTGTCAGTGACAAAGAGGAATGCCCTAAAAGAGATGAATTTGCACAGTGGCTACAAAAATGTGCTCTGAGATAACAACAATTGTGAAGATGATTCAGGACTAGGCAGGGTTTTGTTCTGTTCTATAAGGGGCCACTGTGAGTCAGGACTGACGTGACGGTAACTAGCAACAACATACTGCAAATTTGAAGGGGTCCCAAAATATTCGTGGAAAAATTCCATTATTTAGTAATTTTATTTTTCCACAAACGTTTTGAAGCCCCCTAGTATATTCATCAATATACTAGAGCATACAGGGTGCAAAATTATATAAACTTCTTAGAAATAACCAAATGCCTTGAGGGAATGATTCTCTGGGACCTGGATACTCAGCCCCATAGACCCCCCCGAACACCAAGGCCAACTGAAAGTACACCGTCCACAAAAACAATGTTCTTCAGCCTATTTTGGTATCACCCAAACAGCCATCTAAGATGCAACTTTTGGTCTCTATCTGTCTGAAGCGAAAACGAGTGAGCAAGATCAAGGTGCATGGAAAGAATGAGTCCAGTGGGTAGTGAATCATGAGAACCTTAGCCTCCATGACCTTGGACGGGTCCTGGATACCACAAACAACCAGTCTGAAAGCGATCATGTTAGAAGGTCCTGGATAGAGAGAGTGGGAGAAGAATTTGGAACAAAGTCATAACCAGGAGCAGGCTTACTGTTTGGCGAGAGACTGGAAGAACTCCCAAGACTATGGCCTTGAACCACCCTTCAGCCTGGAACTGAACTCACTCCAGGGCTCACTTTTCAGCCAAATAATAGAGAAGTCTGTAAGGTGAACAATGACACTAGGGCGCATAGACTCTGTAGAATAATCATTTGTGATCAAAAGGGCAGCATTGGGCCCAAGGACAGAGCTCAGATAGCCGCTGGATGGAGTAGGAGAAAAAAAAAAAAAAAGCAGGAATCGAAACAGGAAACACAGAGAAGTGAGATGTGCTACTACTTTGTTAGGAGTGGATTCAATGACAATATAACTACATGTGGCCTCCTCCCTGGGGGACGGACAACCGAAAAGTGGATGAAGGGAGACGTCGGACAGGGCAAGATATGACAAAATACCCATTTATAAACTATCAAGGGCTCATGTGGGAGGGGGAAGCGGGGAGGGAGGGGAAAAATGAGGACCTAATGCTGGGGGGTTAAGTGGAGAGGAAATGTTTTGAGAATGATGAGAACAATGAATGTACAAATGTGCTTTACACAATTGATGTATGTATGGATTGTGATAAGAGTTGTATGAGCCCCTAATAAAATGATTCAAAAGAAAAAAATGACAATATATGAATTGGTGAATAGAAAATTGATCAGGTCTATAAAAGTTCACCCAATTTATAATAATAATAATAAAGTGGAAGATACATTTTTGCCCTTGTTTATTTTGCAATCTGACCAAGAAGATCAATAGAAACTTGATAGAGAATCAAATAATTATGAAATCGGATCATTACAATTGACCTTATTTTCCACCCAAGAGACTAGGGTCTAAGAGGGAGACCAACTCACCCCCAGGCAGCCAACAAGAGCTAGAGCTGAACCAATTTCAAGGGTCGTTCTACCATTAAAACCAGAAAAAGTATTTCAGGTTAGTCGACTGTGACCCATGGCGACTCTGTGTGTGTCAGAGTAGAAGTGCGATCCATCGAGTTTGCAATGGCTGATTCTCCAGAAGGAGATCATCAGCCAAGTTGTCCAAGGTGCCTCTAGGTAGACCGGAACCTCCAGCCTGTCAGTTACCAGACAGCACATTCACCATCTGCACCACCCCGGGATGCCACATGATCATTAGTTCTTGAAAATGTAATTTGTCTGGTAGTCTGAGTATTGCCACCTCATGGGGGTTTTCTTAGCCATTTTGCTTCCTGTCATTGTCTTACCTTAAAGTTTATTTTCTTTTGTTTTTGAGGCGAGAGGAGCCAAAATAGAGTTCCTCATATAAGCAATGGTCTTCGAGGAGTGTCATTATATACCTCTTTGAACGCTTCAGAGAGATGAGGCAAGTTATATTCTCCTACTAACAAAGTGCTCTTTTTATACATTTTGGGCCAGTAGTCATCATGACGTTTTATATGTAGTTTTTTATCAAATGGTCATAAAGCAAAGATTTACTGAGTTCCTGCAACATGCCAGGTCCTCTTTCCTGGGCTAGGGACAGAGCAGAAAGGATGGCAGGAGAGGTCCTGGCTCTTAGGGACATTCCAAATGGAGAGGAGAACTAGACCAAGGAAGCAATACGTGGCTTAGAAAATATCCAGCATTGTGGAATGCTGTGTTGGAAATAACCCAGAATGTACTCAGTGAGGGAAGAAGCCATGAAACGACCTGGCAAAGAAAAATACCAACAAACAATGTAGTGCTGTGTTGTTTTAGCTGCATAATGTACCAAAAGAAATGTGATATGAGATATGGCAGACATATAAAACTCAAAACCAAACTCACTGGCTCATAGCAAGCTTATAGAACAGTAAACTTGCCCTCTGTGGGTTTCCAAGACTGTAGATGTTTATGGGAGTAGGAAACCTTGTCTTCCTCCCATACTGCTGGGACTAGTGGTTTTGAACTGCTGATCGTGGGGTTTCCAACCTAAGCATCAGCCACTAACCCAGGCCTCCTTGGCAAACATGAAGGCAGAGTCTAATTAAGGAGAAGCCTTGAAGACTATAGTGTAAAGAGTGTGAATTTCATTTTTTTTTGAGGGAGAACTGCTAGAAAACTTCAGTCATGCCAGTGTGTCATCTGAGATATTATATATATATATATATGTAATTGGAACATGAACATATATTTCTCCATCAACAAAAAAGCCAAATAACTCAATTGAAAATGGACAATAGATTTGAATAGAAAGTTCACCAAAGAAGATATATTTATTATCAACAAGCATGTAAGAGAGTGCTCAAAGCCATCAGTCATCAGAGACATGAAAATCAAAACCACTGTGAAATCTCACTTCACTCATGAGAGTGAATCATAAGGGGCAAGAGTGTGGCAACATCAGTGACTCTCCAGGTGAGAGTCGATGATGGCTGCATGAGGTTGGGGGCAACTACTGGAAGAAGATAGTTAAGAGTTCCTTGCTATTGCTGAAGAATTGTGAGTTACCACCTGTAAAGATACAAGACTTTGTATGAATGTTTCATGTATGTGTCTCCATAAAGCACATGTAAGCCCTGCGGTTGCCAATTCATTTTCAGTGAGCATCTTTGTCAATAAGCCTTTGTCAGATCTTCTTCCTTTCGGTGAAAAATTGCATGCACATTCAACATTGCTCCTCCATCAATCCTACTCTCTAACATCTAGCATGGCTTTAGAACTCAGAGGCTGAGGCTTAAGCCCAACTTAAGGCTGATAAGGAGAAACCTCAAGCAGTGTGGTCGCCTGAAGCAGTGAGCAGTAAGAATCGATTCTA